CCCTCAGTTTGCAAGAGCACATGCTGCAAAATTTACCCCTATGTCCTGGAGCTACTCTATGTTCTGCCTTTCTTCCTTGCAAGGGCACACCAGGGTGACTATGTTCCCTCAGCTCCCATTTCCAGGCAAACAAAGCCACATGTGCTGACCCACATCTATGTGCACCAAACCTTCCTCAAAGAATGACCCTCCGTGTTGCATTTGTTGTTTGCCTCACTCTGACTTCACTGCTAGCTGGGAACCACAGCCCACCTCCTTGTTACTGCCTGCTGAGCCTTTGTGGAGACGTGGCATCACAGTGCCTAAATCCAGAAGCAGCAAAGGTTCAGACCCTCCTGCAGGGCATCTCCTGCAGGCTGAACTTCAGCTTCCGTGGCATCTGACAGGGGCTGTATTCATGCCACAGTCTTTCTCTCAGAGAGGACATCCACAGGCTCTCTCTTCTCCACTGACCATTTCCTTGAAGGTCAGAGGAAACTCAGCACATCTCCACCTTTCTGGCAAGGCACACCACAAAAGTCAGGCAGCGTGGGTGAGGTTCAGCTGTGCTGCCAAAAGGACAAGGGCTGGGAGGGATGGTGCCCCCAGAGCCCTGCTGTCCAGACTCAGTTGATGGTGCTCTGCTCTTTCAGAGCTGCTCTTCCCAGCCTTTTACTAGTCACAGAGACATCTCTTATTTTTGAAGAATCTCCTCTTAAGCACTGCTGTCACAGAAATTTTCATTTACAGCTGCCCAATGCAAAAGTGAACCCACCGTGCTCATTCATTTCTCATATCTAAGGACACATGATTTCCTAGAATCACAGAGTCATTAAGGTTGGAGAAGACCTCGAATACCATCCAGTCCAACCAGCCAGTATTTCCCACTCAACCATGTCCCTAACTGCCCTAAGTGCCATCACTCTGTTGCCCACATCAACTACCAGTGGCTCATGCACTGATATTTGAGTTCAGGGCTGAGTTTAGCCTGCAAGAGATGCCCTGGCTTGTACATTAGGGAAACAAAGATGCTCTACTTCCCCGGGACCAGATTTTATTGCAAGAAGGACAAGAAACCTGATGGTTCCCGCTGCAAGGGCAGATGTTTCCTTGGGGTGAGTAGTAAGGTAGGGTCAAGGTTATGACTTCATTTACCAGCCAAGCTCTTTGCTGTCAGACCAAGCATCACATCCCTTAGCATCCCCAACCCAGGGCAGAGATCTGACCACCCCACTGCCCATGGCTGCCTTTCTGCTATCTCCACCCTGTGGCTTCAGCCTGCCCTGGAAAATATATAAATAAATGAAGAGAAAAAAAAAGATAAGGAGACCAGGAAGAGGGATCAGGTGAGGACGAGTTAAATATAGATTTGAAAAGCTGAGGGAACTCTCTTGCTATCGCAGAGACAATTAGGATGAGTGAAATGCCTGGCGTGGGTACAAGTGGGGTGACAACTTGCATGCAGAAGATGGTGGTGTGAACCAGAGGATGCTCCAGGAACACCCTCCTTCCTCCTGCTTTGCTCTGGAGCACGGTCTTATGGCTGAGAGGTTGGCTGTGACTCCTTACGAGCAAAAGCACATAGGCTGGATGGGAAGCTGGATACCCTGGTGCCAACTCCCAACACCACGAGCTCACCCTCAGGCTCATGCTGGAGCAGGCTGTGGGAAGTTGGCTGGCCTTTCTCGCTTATGCTGAACAAACTGCTAATTTTAACTGGGAGTCACCTTGAGCTGATTGTTGGGAAGGAAACTTTGGAGAAGGGATGTCTGGCAGCACCCTTGGTGGGTCACAGCAAAGCTTGTCTCCAGGGCTGGGTGAGTGTGGATGCCATGAGAAGAACAGAGAAAGGGTGCAGGAAGAGTCCTGGGAGAAAAGAATAAGGAAATTGGTGACATAGGGTCCTGAGTGTAAAGAAGAGTGCTCCCCCCAGGACCTTTTCCTGATGTTCTTCCTCACTGAGGCTGTTTCTGGGTGTTTGTGGAGCTGGAGAAGCATTTCCTTGGGCAGATTTTTGGGGGATTCAGCCTCAGCTTTGCATCAGTATCACATTTCTACTCTCACCTAAATGGCCTGGCAATGCCACATGGCCTCCCCTCTCCTTTGGTTAGAGAGTGCTGAGGGATGGCCACCTACATCTTTCAGATCCAGCCCTGAGCATCACCAGCCCTGGGGGATGCTCTGAACTGAGTCTTCTTGGGGAAGCAAGCCAGATGAGGTCTTTGGGCTGTAAGCACTGGGCTTACAGCTGAGTGGGCCCTCCTGGGAATTAAAAAGGTAAATATTCCCTTTAGTGGAGCAGTACAGAGACCAAGGCACAGTCTAGCAAGGCATTAATGCCCTTGCTTGCTCTGCACTGCTTATTGGGAGATATCTGCTCCATCCTGAGTGGGTGGAGGTAAAACAGAGTGAAGTGAGGGTTCCCCACCACCTTCCTTCTTGACGACCCTGCCTCACTGTTTGGAAGCAGTGTGGCAATCTCTGATCACCAGCAAAGCTTGGATTTTCAGGGTACTGCTCCTTTGTCACCCTGGGAGAGGTCCTTCTTTCCCTCATCTTCCTTCTCCCTCCTCTGCTTGTCCATTTCTGCTAACCTCCTTTCTGTCCTGCTCTGCCAAACCCCTGTGTCAGGGGGGTTGAAACTAGATGATCTTTAGGTCCTTTTCAACCCTTGCCATTCTATGATTCTGTGATTCTATGATTCTTACTCAGCTTCCTAAAGACTTTTGGGAAAGACTACAGTGTGTGCTGAGCTTAATCTTTCATCAGACATCAGAAAATCCACCTTGCTGTGAATGCCTGGGTTATGGGAAAGGCTTCATCTGAAGCTTGCAGCTTATTAGACATCAGGGAAGCCACCTGATTCCGTATGTCCTGTGCAGCCCTGCCCTCCCACTGGCTCTCCTTCGCTGTCTCTCTTTCTCCCACCTCTCCCCTTTGGGCACCTGCTGATTTTTCCATGTCTTTCTCAGCCCTGGCCCAGGCTCCAAGTTTCCAGATGCACTTTCCACTTTGCTAACCTGTCCCAGCACACAGCTGTCACCTGGAGAAGGTGCTACACTTTGGCCAGGGGAATATTTCCACATTTACAAGGTGGACAACTGAAAAACACCAGAAACTTTCCATCCAGAGCCTCCAAACACTTGTAGGCAGGGAGACACCTCCACACCAATATAAGAGCATTAGCTGCACAGGTGGAATTTTTAGGTCAAGGATGTGGATGAAGAGATGGGACCGAGACTGTGTAGGGTAGAAATAGCACAGACAGATAATGGAGGTGTGGGTCTTTCTGAATGAGAATGGAAAGGCCATTTCAAGGGTCTTCACAAAGACTGGTTGGCATGTGGGGAAGAAATTAAAGGACCCTCCTGGTTGTCCTGTGAAATATATATCATTAAGTACCTCTTTAAGCCCTTGTCTGGGCCATTCAGAGAGCTCATACTCTGTCTAAGGCAAGGATTACCTCCTATCTCGTAAAACACCTTGCAGAACCCGATACCTGCACAAAATAAACAGCTCTCGCCGGGAAGCTTCACTGCCTCCTCGAAAGTGAGGTGTTTGGGTAGCAATACCAGTGCTGCAGATCAGCAAAGGATCACAGAGTGTGAGATCCCCAATCACTTGCACACCTTTGCTGCCCATGGGGCTCCAGGTCTCTCTCAGGGCTATGGAGACACCCAAGCCCCATTTGCCTTAAGGAAGGAAGCACTGCAAGTTGTTTCTTCCCCAGGCTTTTTGTGGCTGAAGCACCTGGAACTGTGAAGCCAGGTGAGTGTCTGCCTTTTCCATTTGTCACAGGTGTGGCAGGGAACAAATTCAACATATGAATAATAGAGGCCATGATGTCCAGTGCAAAGGAAGTGCAACTTTCTGCCTCTACTTTGTTATGTTCACCCTGGGCTTGGCCACGTGTTGTTACTGGCCATAAAAATACCCAGTTCCTTTCTAAATTGAGCTACAATACTTGACTCTTTGGCCTTGGGTGATAATGAAATGCACAAGTGTTTAGCAGATACCCTGGAACTCTCCTTCCCTGTTTGTTCCAGCATAAAAGATCCACAGGAGCCGTTTCTATTTCAGCTGTATTTATTTGCACGGTGCCTTATCATTAATAAAAACAAGTGGACCAAGCCTGTTTAATCCCAAGTTAGCTCTAGGATCTGCTCACACAGGGCTCAGGAGGCCCAGCAACAAGGCTGTGAAGATGGAGATGGTGGGATGTGGTTTGCTGGACTGGTCAATGTAACCATAGTTGTCTGCTACCAGTAATGCTGATTTGGAGGGTTACTTCTGATGTCTTAGCAAAACTGCATCTTCCTCCATGAGGGGCAAAGCTTCCTGTGGTTCTGCTGTGAAAGGCAGTGGCAGAGCATGTATGTGATAAAGAAACAGCTGAGACACCAGGGGTTGTTTCACCTCCAGATTTGGACACCTGGGAGAATCCCACAGCCCAACCATCGGTGTCTAATGCTCTTTTCTGCACTCTGTGCTTTCCCATCCAGATGCAGTTGCAGTGGTAGAGGGGTGTAGGTCTCCCACAGACCCCTGCCCATCAGTCCTGGGGCAGGATGTGGAGATGTCCTATAGCACGAATCACCGGTGATGTACCAAGAGCTTTGCAAAGCAGGAAGAGTGAGGGAGGATACTATTCTATTCTATTATTTTTATTTTATTTTGTTCCATTTTGTTTTATTTTGGACATTTCTGCATCATTTTCTCCCCCTCCCCGCTGTGCTCGGAGCCCTCAGATTCACGGGGAAGTGGGGACATCTGGTGGCCACACCACGAACCTCTCCCCTTCTCCTCGGGCTGGGAGGATGAATAGCAATCATCAAGGTTGGAAAGATCAATCAGATCACCCAAACCAACCATCAACCAATGCCTGTGCCCACTCTAGACCGTGTCCCTCAGTGCCACATCCATCCTTTTCTGGGGCACCCCCAAGGACGGTGACCCCACCACTCCCTCAGCAGTTATGCCACTGCATCACTGCTCTTTTGGAGAAGAAATGTTTCCTAACATCCAACCTGACCCTCCCCTGGCACAGTGTGAGGCCATCACCTCTTGTCCTGTCGCTGTTACCTGGGAGCAGAGCACAACCACCTCTCCGGGAGGTGGGAAATGGGAATGGGAAATGCAGGAGCACGCTGCCATCCTGACAGAAGAATGAAATAATGGAAAATGGTCTCTCTGGTTCTTTATTAAGGATTCAGGATTGGCACCCCTGGCAGGGACGACTCCAGAGTTTGGAGGCCTGATGAGGCCCCAGGAGGTGCAGAGAGGACACCTCCCTGTGATGCGGAGGGGACAGTGGCATTGCATGCAGCCCCATGCCACCCTCCAGGCAGTGTTCCCCTCTTCCTGGGGGAAGCTGGGGAGCTGTGACACCATCCACTTCCCTCACGTCCATCCTTTCTCCCCATCCCCAAATCCATCGTGGCAGCACACAGGAGAAAGGGAGATCCTGACAAGAGCCATCACCAACCTGTGCAGGATGGTGGCTTTCCTCTGTCCCCAGCTGCTGGTGGCTTATGGCTGAGGCTCTGCCTCATACTGCTTCTCTGTGGCCGTGTAAAAGTCCTCAAGGACGGACTGCAGGTACTCAAAGGTCGGGCGTTCCTCGGGTTTGTTTCGCCAGCATCTCAGGATGATGCTGTAGAGCTCAGCTGGACACATATCCGGGCAGGGCATGCGGTAACCCTGTTCCAGGTTGCGAATCACCTCAGGGTTGGTCATCCCTAGAGAAGAAGACAGCCCAGCATGGGTTATTCAGCATTGTGGGGATGTGGGGATAAGAGAAGACCAGATGCTGGGCTACATTTGAGCATCACCCCCGCCTGCAGTCCATCATCCATCCAACCACCCCACCCCCAACTCCCTTCTGCAGGCTTTGGCTGGATTGGAAGTACCCATCTGCACTGTCTCCAGGCATAAAGCACCCAAAACCCTCATTAGATGCTTTGAAGCAATCCCTAGATTCCTTGAAGCCATCAGTAGATGCTTTGAAGACACCACTAGTTTCTTTTAAGGCACCAGTAGATACTTTAAAGCCATCACTAGATGCATTGAAGCCATCAGTACATGCTCTGAAGCAATCAATAGATGCTTTGAAGCCATCACTAAATCGTTTGAAGCTGATGTATGCTCATCCCCTACTCACCATACCTGGATAAGGGATCCTGCCGTAGGTTATGATTTCAGTTAAGAGGATCCCAAAAGACCACACGTCAGACTTGATGGTGAAAACTCCAAAGTTAATGGCTTCTGGTGCCGTCCATTTGATCGGGAATTTGGCTCCTGCTCAGTGGAAGCAAAGGGAAATATAGGATGTGAAAATGCCCATGGGCATGGCAAGGCATGAGCCCTGGGTTTTGCATGCTGTTGGCTGCACTGAAGAGCTGCAGTGTGTCTTATTGAAGGTTATGAAAATGCAGCCAGAGGAAGGCAATAGCTGCTTTCATTAAAAGGTTATTTCTACCTGACCACAGTTTGCAGCAGTTTGGTCTTTCCCCAGTAGAATCAAAGCTATTCCAGCTTTAATGATTTTCTGACCTGTACGTGCTCAGAAACACACACACATCCTGATGCACAGGGACCTGATTTGCTCTGGGTCTTGCTTGCTTGGAACATTTGCCAGCTTCCCTATGTCCAGGTTCATGGCTCCAGCTCCCCTCTGCAGTTCTGCAGTGCAGTGACCGAATTACGCTGCCATTTCCTCCCCTTTGGGCTGACTCACTGTTCACATGTAGTTAGAGGCAGCAGGCTTCATTAGTGGAGGTCAGATTTCTCTAGGAATGCAACCTAAGGTTCAGCAGCACTCCTCCAAGCAGTACCCAAAGGCCTTTTCCCCCATTTCCACCTGCAAACCTCACTTGTTTATTTATGTTCCCAAGTGCTGCTGCCTCTCCTGGGAGCTTGGTGCTTTCTGTGCCTGCTGCCTGGGGAATACAAGGGGACTCTGGTACCAGCCCAGCCCTTGGATGCCCTGTGTCTTGGCTTGTTTACATGGTAAGAGGGCTGGAGGTAAGGAAAATTAAACAGTGAGGCAATGCAGGAATGACACCCACCTTCTTGTGCCAAGTATTCATCCTCAATGATCCTGGCCAAGCCAAAATCAGCAATTTTGCAGCACAGTGTCTCTGAGACAAGGATGTTGGCAGCTCTCAAGTCACGGTGGATGGAATTCATTCTCTCAATGTATGCCATTCCCTCTGCCACCTAGGGAAGGAGAAAAGAGCCCATCTTCAGCTTTCACCTTCCCACGGACCACTTCTTAGCATGGTTGCATCTCACCCACCTTTATAGATGCACAACTTGTATGTAGGGTTGCCCAAATGCCTCCATGTGCATGGGATTACATCCCTGAATGGATGGATGGATGGATGGATGGATGGATGGATGGATGGATGGATGGATGGATGGATGGATGGGTGGATGGATGGGTGGATAGATGGGTGGGTGAATGGATGGATGGATGGATGGATGGATGGATGGATGATCAGATAGATGCATAGACAGGTAGATAAACAGGTAGACAGTAACATCTGCACATACACAGATGTTACCCCACATATCTATGCATACGTGCAGCTCTACCAGCACTCAGCCAGTCTCTCAAAGCTTTGAACAGCCAAGTCAAAAGGAACAGAAGCATCACTCTCTGTTTTGCTCAGAAGTTGAGGCTTTGAGTCGTGTCTGTAGTGAGCTGCAGAAAGTTGAAGCTAACCTGAAGCCACATCACTGGATTCCCGATTTCTGCCACAGGACTATCCCTTCTAGTTGGGATTTTAATCATCAATACTACAGATTAAATAAATGAATTAAAAAACCAAACCAAAACAAAAAACCCACTCAGAGAGCTTGTCTGTCTCTCAGTCACAGTACTAAAGTCCAGATCCAGGAGAATCAGAGGCTCTTCAGCAACCTCCTCTGCTCTCCTAAGCAGATCTGTTTTAGAGTGGGTTGCAGATCATTGGAGAGCCTTCTACAACACAGATGAGACTCATGTTTTCATCCCTTGGGTTGGATCCAGAATAGGAACAAAGGACACAGCGTAGCTGCCCTCAGATTTCTATGAGATGCAATAGAGAAGAAAAGCCAGCTATGCATAGTAATATGACTGACATAGAGGGTATGTCCCTATGCAGATCCCTTGTCCTGAGAACAAATTGCCTTCTTCAGTCACTTCCATACTTTGGAAGGTTCTTGCACCTGAGATCATCCTTCAGTGTTTAGCTCATTGGAGCAGACATATCTGGTGTGTGATGAACCCCTATAAATGAGGGCAGTGATCTTTTACCACTGAGTGCTGGGTGATGTGGTACGCGGGATTCCAAAAGTACTGTATCAGCCAAGTCCAGATTTGGGCCAGGCATTTTTCAGGACGAGTGGATGCACGCAGCACTGTTAGTAATGGTTAGCACCTATTAAAGCTTTTAAACGCCTGTGGGTGATGGCAGAGCAATTTTCCACCCCGTACAGATTCACATCAGCATCTCAACTTACATGTGGTTTCAAACAGGATACTAACACATACTTTCCAATGCTGCGTTTCTAACTTGTATCAAAACCCTTTCTGTGCATGTGCTGCCTTCTGTAGTGGAAAATGGAAGAATTGATGTCATTTCCTCTCCTGACCTAATGAGATAGAACCCGGTGATAGGCTCGTTCTGGCCCAGAGATCTTTCGAGCTTTCATTCTGAAGAGTGACCACAGGATCAAGTGCATCAGCCCAGTACTTTCTAATTTTAGCCCCAGCAGATGCTAGTGGATCCAAAATTACGTTTGATGGGGCTGGATGCCTGTTGGGTCATCCCAATACCACAGACAGTCATAGATTGCAAAATGTCTCAAGAGACTGCCTTCTTCCTCCCCCTCCTCCTCATCTCAGAGATACTGAGTGTCTGAAGCCAGCCGAGGAGGGAAGGGAATGATGAAATCTTTGAATTGACGCCCACAGCATGAAGGATGGGCAGAATCCTTCTCATGCACTGCAGGCGGCTCATGTGGGGCATCACATTGCTCAGATGTGTGGGTTTTTGCTGTCCTAGTTCTGGAAGCCATGGGCACTTCAGGGTCCTGCAAAGATTATGGAGGGATTCCCAAAAAGGTGCTTCCAGGTGCCCACGGAGAGGGGACATCCACATGCACTTGCTGAACCCCAGTGTCAGTGCCAACTATATGGGGACTCTTCAGCCTTCTCCACTGCAGTGAACGGGTTTCCAGGCAGCTCAGACCCCAGGTCACATTCAGGGCTCAAACCCCGAGCTCAGAGAAATGTTTAGATGCTCAACTCTGGAAGATGCATTGGAAAAGGTCTCTCTCAAGGTCTCCTGCAAATTCTGTGTTGTCAGACCTATACAACCCTAGTGCTGGAGACAGGCAAGACTATTGCCTGGAAATTCTCTATCATTCTACATGTTCAATATTGCTCTCCTCTTCCACAGAAATGCATTGAGCCATGTTCTGAGGTGTAAATCTCCTGCCAAATCCAATGGCTTTCCAATAGCAATGGATTTGGATCATTATGCTTATTGTCAGATGTTTGAAACAAACCACAGGCAATATCTTTCAAGAGATCAAATAAAAAAAAATGAAAAAAGGAAAGGAGATAAGTAGGCAAGGGAAAAGTAAATGAGAGAAGGAAGGAAGAAATTGAGGCAGAAATACTAAATAAGGGGGTTGCAGATGGGTTAAAACAACAAAACTTAAAGGAACAAAACCCTATAAGGGCAAAAAGTAGTTCTCATAAGGAATGGTTATTGCAGTTTTGAGGGCAGAACATCTTTTATGCCCCATCATCAGGAGGGAAGAACTGAGGAAAGCCAGCACGTCTCTACGGTGAAACTCTCTTTGTTGAGTTTTCTTTCCCTTTTTGTCACAAGAGAAAAAAACCTTCTTCCTGCTAAGTAAGCCATAAAAATAAAACAAACCAAAAACAAACAGGGGAAACTATAATAATAAAAAATAAGCAAAAAAAAAAAAAAAAAAAAAGTTATCCAACGCTGCATTAAGTTCCCTTGAGGCTGCCCAAAAGGCCAGCAGAGCATTGCTGATGTGACATGCACATTAAGATGAAGGCTGAGAGAGGAACCCTCTGACAGCATACCAGGAGGTGCTGTTTTCCTCTGTGACACTCGATGCTGGCACAGACTTATTTCAAACTTGCAAGGATTTCACTGGGACAGAAACAAATGATGGCCTCCAATTCATTGCCAGTGGCTGATCACTAACCTGAGCAGACATATCAATGAGTTTGGGGAGATTCAGTTGGCTTCCTTCCTCTGTCTTCAAATAATCCAGCAAGCACCCTGCAAAAGAGAAGAGACTGCAGTGAGTCTTCTGTTTGTGCATTTGCTTTCTCTGGTGCTTCTCTGAACAGGCAACAAATCTGCCCACATCCTGGAGAGAATCCAAGGGAAGGCAGTGGGTGTCCCCTGCAACACCTGCTGAAAGTGTTCTGAAAAGCAGCCAAGTTCTTCCCTGCACACACCTCTGCAAAGTGCTGGGCATCCTTCATTCAATGCCTCGCGGTCAAAAGGGGCAAAAGGACAATTTCACCATGAGGAGAACAAACTTCTTCACTTCCAATAGGAATGGGGGAGAACTTGAGATAATCTTCAAATGGAGTGACACCATTTGTGAGGTGGCTTATGAAATATGAAACCACGCATTTAATCACTCAGAATCCCTTCCTTTTACAGAAACAGCCTCCTAGATCACTTATTGCTTTTCTTGTCAGTTTGGTACAATGTCCACCCATTACAAATGGGAGTACCAATCAGATCATTGACCTGATTTTGCAAGAAATCCGACAAAAGCATTTGGTAAGGCTCCTTACCATTGGCCATGTACTCTGTCACGATGTAAATTGGCTGCTTTGTGACTACAGCATAGAGCCGGACCAGCTTATTATGCTGGAGCTTCTTCATCAAGTTTGCTTCTGCCAAGAAGGCGTTGGGATCCATGCTGCCCTCCTTCATGGTCTTTACAGCCACCTTGAAGTTGTTCTTGTAGTAGCCTGCAGGGAGATAACGATGCACTGAGGAATTCTGGCCTCTGTGCAGGCTCTGTTGGGCCATGTAAGGAGAATAAGAGCTTGTGCAGCAGGGAGCAGAAAACCACAGCAAAAGGGAGTGGTAAATCTCAGACCAGTAGGCTCTGAGCAACCAGCAAGTATAGGAGGAGATTGGAGAGGCACATCAGTCACATCTACCCTATGAAGCCCACGTTGAACCACGCAAGTACAACCTGTCTGGTCCTTCCCAGGAGTACAGCATCTCCTGCTGCAGGTGTACCCACAAAGTAGCTGTTCATACTTTAGGATCCCCATGCCCAGACCAGTCCTGTCTTGAGGAAAGAGGGTTTTCTGTCTCCTCTGTTTATACATTTCTTTTCTGGAATGGGGTCACTGTACTTACCCATCCACACTTCCCCAAACTGCCCACTGCCAAGCTTCTTCACAAGTTTCAGAGACTCCCGTGGGATCTCCCACTCATCCTGTGCCCAGGGCCTCTGGGGAGCCAGGGATGTGCAGGGAGCTATGAGCCTCTGGCACAGGCCATCTCCCCTCTCTGTGTGAGCAAAAACCATAAGACAGTTCAATGGACAGTTCGACAGCAAACCTTCAGCCCCAGAACTAACCTGCTCCTCCTTGAAGAGGAAAAAGCCAGCTCATGGGACAGCCCCATAACCCCACATTGTTTCAGCCACAGGGATCAGCACAGCCAAGATGGATCCAGTGAAAGGAAGAGGCTCAAAAAGAGTCATAAAGGAGAGTATTCTGTTTAGTAAGTCCCAAACCTTCCCAGACATTCCTCCTTCCCTCCAGTGCTCCGTGACTTCCCAGTTACAAGGTGGTAGGCAGAGCTCACCCTCACATTGCCCAAGGACAAAAGACAGGGCATGGGAGCCCAGTTTGGAGGAGAGTATCTTGCTCATGAGAGTGGATGGAGCAATGGTGGTGGCTAGCAAGCCCACCCTCCCTCTGCCCACCTCCTGCCAGAAGTCAGTAGGGAAGGAAAGCAACTTACGGCTGTAATGATGGATTAGCTCTGGCAGGGTGGCAAAAGTCATCCTTGGGGAGATGTAATAACCTCCACCATCTAAAGAGCGGATCCTGTAGTGTTTGATGATGTCCCCATGAGCAGAATCACTGTCTCTCACAGACAAGGAGTAGGCACCTGGAGGGCAAGCAAGAGAAAGAACTGTGAGGACAAGCAGCAACTCAGAGAGCAGCGACCCTCTCTTTTCTCAGCTGTCTGCAGCTGTAGGCACTTCTCCCAGCCCGTGCTGATTCCTTCTCATCGAGCTCCAAAACTGCTAATTTCCATCTTTCCATCTTTTTTACGTTTGGATTTTGTGTTGAGGGACATGGTTTAGTGAGTACTGTTGGTGATAGGTGGATGGTTGGACTGGATGATCTCAAAGGTCTTTCCCAACCTTGGTTATTCTGTGATTCTGTGATTCAAGGCATGTGAAGAGGGTGAAGTTTCACCAGAGCTTGACGGGCCAGTTGAGGCTTGATTGGGTAAGACTTGTCTATGCGGTGACCAAAAGCCCTATGGAAACCACATGGTCATCAAAAACACATCTTTTTAGGTCATCATAGTCTTTCCACAGCTTCCCTTTTTCATCTGAGTTCTCTCAACCATACCATCTCATCCGGACAAAGCAAGTGACTGCAGACCTGCCAGTTTGTAGAAACAACCCATCAGTACAACCAGAATATTGGTTAACGGGAGAAATAAGGTCAAGAAATGTGTCCCTTCTCGGTGTTATCCAAGCTCTCCATGTCCCTGTCTTTCCCTAAACCCAAACCCAATCCCACACTGATCTGCTGTTTTCTCCTTATAATGGGGTTATAATAATCCAACCCATGGATTTATATATATATATGTATATATACATAAAATTATTTTTTTCTCACAGAAAGAAACCAAAACAACCAGAACAAGATGTTGCAGCAACTTCACACTTATGTCAGGGTAAATTTCAATACAGCTTAACATTACTTTTTTTCCCCCTTTGTCTGGATCGTATTTCTGGAGAAAGTTGTTATAAACCTGCTGGGTTGTTAAGAGTCCAATACATCAACTGGGTTGATAGGCTGCCTTTTTAACATCTGAAAAGGCAAGGCTATATATGTTAAAAAGCATGTATCTGTCATATAGGATCATAAGCAGAAGTGGGACATTCCATGCTGACTGTGAAACCTTAATCCTCCACAGGAGGGGAAAGTTTGCCAGCACATAATGCTGCCTGGCTGGTGTTTCTCCATCACAGCACCAGTTCTCACTGCAGTTTCCTGCACTACATCTGGAGACATTCTTTGTGCTGATAATTTTAAAAAAGTAACAATAGAAAATCACTTCTGTGGACATTTGCTCTATTGCTGTTGATTATGAGCCTCGACAAGCAGGATCTGGGAGAGTCTACGAGTTTTCCACGAGCAAACAGTTGCTCTGGGATGAATTCTGTTCCAAACTATGAAATACAGTCACATAATCTTCATGGAAGACCCTCTGGTTTATATGCAGAGCAAGGGAACCCAAGACTGGAAGCGCACCGCTTGGGCATTATGGAGCCCTGCAGCATCCCCAAGAGTGCAACAAAACATTCCAGCAAAGGGCCAAAGAATGGCTCATTTTTCACAGCCCATTTCTTGTTGATTAAGGGCTGCAACTACACAACTAAGAGTGCCTTTCCCAGAGAGACACGTATGGTTCTTGTTGGGTGCAAAGAGGTGATGCCAAAGGGCTTGTGTCCGCAGTGCTTAGCATAAGTTTGGCTAGAATGGATTAACCACATTCATGCAATATTATTATTGTCATTGTTATGATTATTGATTCTATTATTGTTGCTGTGGCTGCTGGTGATGTTATTTTAATTTCACAGTGACTGAAACAACGCACAGGCCAGGCTACAGCTCAGCAAAGTTGGGCTTATAGGGCATGAATCCAAGAGGGAGTAGCATGCATGGCCATGGCTTAGGGCATGTAGAGGTTTCTGCAGAGCAAGGTCTGCAAAAGAAGGAGCCAAACATGGTGTGAACACACCTGCAGTGATGATACAGCCCTGCAGAAGGGAGAGCAGGAATTAATGACTATGTGTGCCTGGGGACTGCCAGCACAGCAGAGATCTATTTGTTAGTATGGTTGCACCCAAGGTGTCTGCTCTCTTGCAGGACCTGCTCTCCAGACCCCACGGACCTTCCAAACCTCCTGTATCTTTCAGAGCAGTGATGTGCAGCATGCAGCAGTGACAAGAGCCCCAGGCATCCTCCAGGCCAACATATCACCTGCCTACTATTTGGCTAATCCTTAACCTGTCATTAGTGCTAATGATTACATTTCACCCAAAGCCAGAGTTTGGTTTGCTGGAGTGAGTGCCGTGGAGCTTTTCCTGTCATTCACTGTGGTTGGTTCCTGTTCCCTTGGAAGAAGTGTGTAAATGCAAAGCATAAGAGTTGGAAAGCACCTGTTCTCTCTTCTCTCAGTGAGAGCAGAACATTTAAAATATTACATGGAGCCATGTGGATGGCAGGAGTCTCATCTTCCCTAGTGATAATTAGGATGGCCAAAAGGGGTTACTCCCTCTCAACCACAAGGACTTTCCTTGTCCTACAGTCCTGCATCACATCCCAGAACCAAATCTTGTCCTAAGTCTCAGAGCCTCCTCTTCTGGGTTTGGGATCATCCCACAAGGGCTCTCAGCTCCTTTCTGCTTAAAGAGTAGCAAGTTTGGTATGGGAAAAGCACTGAAGGTACAAAGGATTCTGCTTCAGATCATACCAAGGGCTGTTTAGTCCCCTAAACATGGGTATCACATACCTGTGAGATGTTATGGGACATCTGCATGGGCCTGCCAGATATGTTGCAAAGCTGTATTTTATGGAGCATCTGGATGGCTCTGAGATGTCCACGTTTAGGCAATCAGACCAAGCCCCATTGAATCACAGAATCATAGAACCGTTCTGCTTGGAAAAGACCTCTAAGGTCATCCAGTCCAACCCCAGCCCATCCCCACCATGCCCACTAACCACAACCCTCAGTGCCACATCCTCACAGTTATGGAACACTTCCAGGGGTGGTGAACACACCACCTCCCTGTGTTAAGTATTAATTTACAATAATATCCACTGCCTAACAGATGCAGAGATCTTTCCCCAGTGGTGTGCAGAAGAATCACCATTTAAAAAAAATAATTAAATAAATAAATAAATAAAGGGGAAAAAAAGCAAAACAAGAGAGTAATATTTCCTTAGGGAGAAAAGGTAGGGAAAAAAAAAAAAAAAAAGCCTCTAAAGCATTGTTTTGGAAAGTCTTTGCTGCTTATCTCTGTTCCTGCATCTCTGCCACAAGCTGTGGTGATAGGAACCACCCTCACCACAGCCTGATCTAATGAGGAGCATCATGGGGACATCTAATGCAACCCTGCTGAGCCTGGAAAGCGTGGTTCTGTCCCACAGCAAACTCCAACACTGGCACTGCTGAACCACACAGCTCAGGACTGGAAGGTCCTCCAAGTTGTGCCCGTGCCCAGCAGTTGCTCTGTGGATCTCACCTGTGCTGGTCTCACTCTCTCGAACAAGGAAGGAGCCAATTTTGTTACCAGAAGACAACAGTAGCCGTTCAGCATCTTTTCTGCTCAGAGTTTTAAAAAACCACCTGGGAGACAGAAAAGGTAAAACCGTTTTGGAAAAGGAAAAGCTCAGAATAAGAAAAAGGACATTCTTTCCAGTCGGTTTGTTTTTTTACTATTACACTCTGAAATGGAGGGTTATTTTTATCAGTGAATAGATTTTCATTTGCTGGAAAGTGGCAGTAATGAGATGTTTTTGGTAAATAAACAGCAGATTTCTATCACTCTGGGCTTGCTTCACTGCCTGTTCAAGCAAAGCAGAGAGCAGAGTTTGTTCCAGTGTTGCTATACACAAACCCAGCCAGAGCAGGGACTGACAGCTCACCTGGCAAACCAGTAACCACAGAAAGGCCAAGTGTGAAGCAGATACATGGGCTGGAGGTGCTAACTGCCATTAAAACATATCCCTTGGATACAAAGAGCATCTATGCCTTGATCCCATTTCTGCATGCTGAACTCAGTAATGGCTGGTTCTCCCTAAGAGGCGATTGCCAAGGTGGATCCCAAGGGGGATTGCTGGGGCTAATCCTCTGTAACTGAGTACCATCAAGGAGGATAAAAGATGGGGAAATACCTCTCCTTCTGCTTTGATATAGAAACCCTATTGGATCAAATCTTTCTTTGCAGGGAAGCCTACATCTGGGCTAAAGCGACAGCTGGTGTCAGGATGCTGTTTTGGGAAGGAAAGCCCTGCATCAACCTTCACACCTCACCAGCTTATGCACTTACTTTTCCTGTTCCAGGCTGTCTACTAGTGCAACGAAGTTGCTGGGGATATAGCCTTTCTTCCCAGTTCGGAGGGATTTGGCCAGCCACCAGTCCCCCTCGCTGCAAAGCAAGAAGAAGAAGTGTCAGTGCCCAGAGGAGGTTTCACAAATGGGTAAGGATTAGAGGACAACTCGGTTTATGGGGTTCTGAGCGCTTTTTAGGGGAGATGTTACTCTACGAGGTCCCTCTCATTCTCTTAGGGTCACCACTTGGTTGAAGGTTGCTGAGAAAAACAGTGTGTGTGGCTTCTCGAGGTGACAGCTTCTTTCCATTGATGCAGAGGAAGCATAGACCCAAACCTCTGCTGTGCACCAAAAGGGAGACGTGGGACATCCAGGTCACCATCACTTAATTTTATCGCTTGCACAGGGACATGGGGACTCCTCCATTCTACTCCTACCTTTATCTACCAGCCATCAGCATTGCTGTCCTACTCAAGCACCAGCCATGACAAAAAGCCATGCCCTTCCAGTGGGACCACTGGTCCCATGCTCCATGCGTCCATTTTGTCCCTTCTGGAGGCCACCTCACGGGATAGCCAAGAACAGAGCAGCCCTCCGATGGCTAAATGGGACCAAAATTCACTCCTGCCCTTTTATGGGTTGGGTAGATGAACAGCTGGCTTCTTCTCTCGTGAGTTTTAAAAGAAGATGAAATGAAATCATTCATCTCCCTGGCTCAACTCTGTCCTTTCCTCTGACTACGCCCAACCCACATCCTTTGCAAAAGCACGATCAGCACAAAATATGCAGTGGGCTACTTTAGTGGTGTTACTCATGCAACTTCTGTACCCATGTGAACTGGCAGGGGAGAAGGTCCCAGCAGCAGCCAGGCAAGGACACAACCTGACCCCAAAGTGCCTGTAACCCCAGGAAAGCAGGATAGTGTCACCTTCCACATCTCCACAGCTCTGGTGGGCAGCAAATTCATGTCTGATCCCAAAGTCCCCACCTCTACCAGCCTGGTTGTGTTTGTCTTTAAGCATCCCTTACTTGGAGAGGATCTGAAGTTTCTCCCCCTTGACCAGCTCCAGATCACGGTCACTTGAAGCAGCAAAGTCATACAGTGCAATCACAATGATGTCATCTGCAAGAAAAAGCAGCATATTGAATTCAGCTCTTTACTGGGGGGTGATACACACCCAGTGGTGCAGCGGGGCACTTCCCTCCTTCCCCCCATGATCCCAAAGCCAAGATTTCCCCCAGCCCATCATTCCTGCCAGCCTCAACCTCTGCTCAGAGCTAACTCTATTTTACCCATGTTTCCTGTGCTTTGCTTTTTAAAACACTCCAGATCCCCACATACACAAAACCCAGCGTATCAACAAGGAAAAAGTGTTTATGTGGAATAAGAAAAGTCATAAATAATCCACCAGTGCTTGGCCTCGGTTCTATATGACAGTAAATTAAATCTGCTGTGGCAACATCGCCCAGGGATCTTGACTCAAAAAGAGGAGGTTTTCTTGTCTAGGGAAGATACAGAGACATCTCAGTTCCTGCTAGCGGAGCCCACTGCAAGGGTCTGATTCTCCTTCCAAATGCTCTCAGCACAGCCCATATCTCTGTCCCTTTTACGTGCCATTTCTTGCAGATGTGTCACCACATGTAAGTCATGCTGCTGTCTCCAGCACCCAGCTGCTCACTTTGGCTCAGCTACAATTCCCGTGAGGGCAGTGGTTGCTTCAGCATTTCCTCTCTCCAGACCCCAAAACCAATGCTCTGTGTCTCCCATTTCTCTTCCAACCCACTTGGGCCAAGGCTGTGAGCAGGACTGAGTCCCCATCCCCTACTCTGACACCCTACTTTAACTACATCTGTGTTGGTCAGGCACTTCTTTTGGCCAAATGAATTTCTGCACTCTGTTGCACACAAGCTGTACTGTGCATGGCACTGCATGTGTGCATGGGCTGGGGGATCTCTATATGGGAGAGGAGCTGCTACATGTGCATCCCAGGTCGTGCTGGTGCTGCTTGTGGAGAGGCTGTGTGACCTTTAATGTGCGCTTGCAGCTGCTGAAGCAGAAACGAGCAGCTATTTTGGGGCAGAGCAAAACCTATGAAGGTGATCGTCATAAATGCACAAACACAATCACTGAACCAAAACGTGGTAGAAAAACAAACAAAAAAAAAACAACAACAAAAAAAAAAGGGTAAGGAAAAGGGAAGAGAAAAGGGAGAGAGAAAAGGCTAAGGAATAAGCAAAATAACAACAACAACAAAAAAAGAGGGATAAAAACATTGAAAAGGAAAAAAAAAAGAAAAAGAAGAGGAAAAAGAAGAGAAAGAAAAAAGAAGAGGGAAAAGAAAAAAGAAGAGGAAAAAGAAGAGAAAGAAAAAAGAAGAGAAAAAGTAAAAAGAAGAGGAAAAAGAAGAGAAAGAAAAAAGAAGAAGAAAAAGAAGAAGAAGAAGAAGGAAAAGAAGAAAAAGAAGAGGAAGAAGAAGAAGGAGAAGGAGAAGGAGAAGAAGAAGAAGAAGAAGAAGAAGAAGAAGAAGAAAAAGAAAAAGAAAAAGAAGAAGAAGAAGAAGAAAAAGAAAAAGAAGAAGAAGAAAAAGAAGAAAAAGAAGAAAAAGAAGAAAAAGAAAAAGAAAGGCAAAAGAAGAGGAAAAAGATGAAAAATAAAAGGAAAAAGAAGAGGAAAAAGACAATGAAAAATAAAAGGAAAAAGAAGAGGAAAAAAGATGAGAAATAAAAGGAAAAAGGAAAGGAAAAATAAAAGGAAAAGGAAAAGGAAAAAAAAAAACAGAAAAAGAAGAGGAAAAAGAAATGAGGAAGAAAAAGAAAAAGGAGAAAAAGAAGAGGAAAAAGAGCAAAACAAAACAGAGACGCTTTGCTGTGGAATGCTTTTAGCTTGTAGGCAGCGCTACCAAATGCACCAAGAGCCAAGGACAGGCTATACATAGTGTTTTTCAAAACAGACTGTCAAGCCACTGTCTCCATGTGACCTTTTCAAATAATGCCACCAGCAAGAGAGCCAGACTGGCCCTTTGTCATCAGCAGATAAGACGTCTCTGGGGCAGCTCGGGCGCTGGACCCGCTGGCGACTGGCGGGCAATGAGGGATGTGGAGGGTCAGCGTGGGAGGGGAGGGAGGAGGGAAATGCAGCTTTGCAAACCAAAGCTGTGAGCAGTTGCAAGGAGGAACTTGGAGGTGCAGGAGAAGTTTCAGCAGAGCTGTGCTCTTTCCTACACGAGGGGAAAAGCGTGGCTGGTCACAAGGCTTTGAAGTCTTAAAATAGCTTGCAGGGCTGGGAGCTTCCCTTTGAGGGATCTCAGAGCATTTGGCATTAGCAGTGCATCCATCCACTTGCTGCCTCTGCAGGTGTTATCTCAGCTTCTCCAACATGAGAGGTGCCGGGCATGTGCCTGCTGCAAGGTGGCTGGCCAAAGTGCCCTCCGTGTGCACCGTCCCACTCCTCTTGTGAGTGAAATCATGCAGTAGTTCTGCTTTTCCTTCGAAAAGTAGAAGTAAATGTCAAGTATCGAGTGACTGCATGTTCGAATAATTTTAAAAAAAAAAGGAAGAAAAGAAAGAAAAAATGTAGTTTTCATCTTTAAGCAACTAAGGGAAGTACAAATAAACAAAACCAGAAGTAAACAACCAAAAAAGAAAAACCAACCAGCCCAAACGAGAGAAATCGAGAAAGAAAGGGAATACATTTTGCGAGGACGAGAAAAAGGGTTTGCACGGTGAAAAAATAATGCGACTCCCTCTTATCCCCTTTTCAACGTTCTCAGCATGTCGAGAAACATTGCACACCGAAGCGAGCCAGAAGAAAAGCGCTCTCTCGGGCCGAGCCAGCAGGACTTGCCGTCTCATGATGAAAGCAGCTCCTTCCCTCTCTGAGTCTGTCACGCTGCTGAGAAACAGCACCGATAATGCTTTCTTGGCCCATTTGACTGAGTTAGGTCATGAAGCTGTCGGGGCTGCTGGGAGCGACTGCTTTGCAGATAGTGCTAGCAGTACAAGGGCTTTGATTGCGAGCCAAACGCGTCTTGGCTCAGAGCTGCTGTCAGGAAAGTGAGATACCAGCTCAGTTTGCGTAGGCTGAGTGCCAGTTTGATGGCTTAATGGAAATGATTCAACCAGGCTTCCCACCGTTGCCCCGTCATGAATGGAAGGTGTTCGCAAGCATCCCATGGTGGTGGAGCCATGCTATGGTTGTGCCAGTGTCTTACAGAGGATGGTGAATTGGTTTAGAGCTGGCAGTAGGGTTAAAGACAGTTGTGAGGTGTTGGAACAGGTTGCCCAGAGAGGTGGTTGGTGACCTTGGGTTGGAGACAGCCAGGGTCAGGCTGGATGGGCTGTGAGCACTGATGGAGCTGTGGGTGTCCCCATTCAGTGCAGGGAGTGGGACAGATGGCCTTCAAGAGTCCCTTCCAACTCAAACAATTCCATGATTCTGTGACACTACGTTGGCTCAACCAAGAGATATGCTGTTAAAATTGGGTCCTGTTTCCCAGCCCAGCAAGACATGGGCTGGTTCACCAAGGTCTGCTTGGAAAGTGTGCCTTCAGAACGTAAGCTTGCAGTGAAGGAATGTTTTCTGCCAGATACGTTTCTGCCTTCTGCATTCATGCACCATTTTGACTCAGTGAATGTTTTTGCAGGCAATTTCTGCTTTCCTCATAAAATCATATCAGATTGTAACTTGTAACTTTTTTTATTAGGAAACTGGAACATTCACTCTCATCTTCCTTCCCTCTCTTACTTTTGATTGAGAATGATATTTCTGTGTAAGAGCTCCTCATTTCTCTCCAAGAAATAAGCCTTTTCAGTAGAAGCAATTCCTCTTTTTTTTCCAATTATAGCCACATTCCTGGCAGCATCCTTGTCAAACTCAAACCCATCTTCAGGGAACAATAAGAATGACCAAGAACTTGGATGCTAATTTTGCAGTACTTCAAAGGACTTCAATTTCCAGAGCACACTCAGCTCTCAGCACCTTCTGAAAGTCAGACCTGCTCATGCTCTGGTTTGTGAAAAACAAGCCCCGAGCTTGAAGAAGTTGCAGTTCCTCAACTGGAAGAAACATACTTGTGGAGAAGCTGATTCTTTGTGCACTCTTAGGTTATAATGATGATTGATGAGAAGCATCCAAAACAATCAGTTGTTTCCATCAGTAGTGCTTACACTCAGATGTGAGCAGCTGAAAGGGCAAGGGTGGGTGTTATTCTCCCTATCTGCTACATCTTATCTATCTAATGCAAGCTAAGAGCAGCAGCTCTAGCAATGGAGCTGGTGTGCTTGGACCTGGTCTATGATGTGCTGAGGGTTTTGGAAGTGCAGAATTAAAGGTACGTCTTGACTTCATAGAGTGGAGGGAGGATCCAACACCGACCTTAGAGGCATTGTGAGTGATTAGAGATCTGTGCTAAAATGAATGAGAGGCTCAGATGATGGAATAACCCACAATAAGTGAAGAGTGGGTTCACAGTGCTATCACAGCTGAACTCAGAGTTATGTACTTCTTGCCTATCTTCATGCTACTTCCATTAAGACAAGAAATGACAGGAGGAATTAGGACTTGTTAGCAAAAAATAAATAATTTCTAAGATGGCAGTGTGAAATCTTGAAGTTGTGAAACAAGATGCACAACAACAAGAGCAGAAGGAGAAAAAAAGTCTTAATGAAAGGAAAGGGAAAGAGAAAGGGAAGGGGGAAACAAGGAAAAATGGGGAAAAGGGGAGGGGAGGGGAGGGGAGGG